ATATAAATAATAGTTTATCTGATAAAAACTTTGTGCAAACATCAACTCATCATTGACCACCAAACAAACAATGTCATTAAAACACCAGCGCTGTTTAACAGCCTCCAGGTCTCCATTGTGTTGGTAGAAGCTGAACTGCAGCAGAGTCTGGCCCTGATGTTACAGCCACACTGACCTGGCCTCCTGACCCTCCCTGTTCTCCACTCGGTTCTTTCTGCTCAGATAAATTGCCATCTTGGCTTCCCCTGAAAGATAGTTAAGGAACTGACACTTTTCTTTTCCTGTTTTCTTGTAGGCAGCTCCCATGATGAAAACCCTTTCAGTAAAACACATGAGAAAGACTAAAAACCAATGTTAAAAGAGAGAAGAACTCTGCGAGTGTCTTACACTCAGTAAAAACATGGTGAACAGTCTCTCTAAGGCTACAGAATGGGCACTGGCTAAGAACAGAGGGATTAAGAACAGAGATAAAGCATTGGAGGCGACAGCACCATGTGAAATCCTCCACTGGAGGTCGGCAGTCCGTTTTCTGAGGGGAGGTTTATATAAGATCCTCCACTGTGGACCAGGTCCGTTTTGTCCCAGTCTGTCTGACCACACATTGGGGAGCCTGTTGCACAGTCCGCTCTTGTTTGTGCCCTTCACACAGTTAAAATACAAGGTCTTCTTGTCCACCTTGTGTAGTGTCAGTTTTTCTGGACATGTTGTAGCAAGCAGGGGGCCGGTGAGTTCCCCTAGCCCTGGGCTCAGGGAGATCTCAGGGAAAGGGTCTGAAGGGTCCGGCTCGACTTTTCCTTGGCTGTAGTTCGTGAGGAGGCTCCTTTCTTTCCCCGTCAGTCTCTGGCTCCACAGCTCCAGGAGCCCCCTGGCCACCCGGACAGAATGCAGACCCAGCAGAGAGCCCAGGGCCGGGGCGTCGCTCAGCGTCGGCCCCACTGCGTCCACCAGCTGCTGCAGGCACAGGGTTCTGGATTTGCGCAGCGCCCCCCATCAGGCCAGGGGTGACATTGCTGCTGATGTCCAGCTTGGCCCTGTGAATTAATGGTTCTCTCAACAACCAGTACAAAGAGTTAGACTTTGGGCACCTTTTATGAGTAAAAAGGGCCCAAGACTTAAAAACACCCTGATAAAACAGGCAGCCCACTTACCTTTAAAACACTAGAATCAATTAGAAACAGAGCAGTATCCAGCCCCAGGTTATCTGCACGTCTGAGAATGCAGCTGGCCACATCTCTCCACACTAAACCATCCGGACTTGTGAGGTATTTTTGCACAAACTGAATTCTAAAAGTGGCCATCCGGCTGGCAGGTGGACGAGGTCCTGCCCCCCCCCTCCTCTCTGGCTAAAAACAGCACCCCTTGTGGCCCCCAGTGCAGACCCTCCCAAGCAAATCGACCATTCTCCTCTGTATGTGGGCTAGAAAGCCTGAGGGAGGGTCTAGGCAGGTTAGACGGTGCCAGAGTTGGGATGCTATAAGATTGTTTAAAACCAATACTCTACCTTTAACAGACATCTGAGGGAGCAGCCATTTCCATTTGAAAAGTTTTCCCTCGATCTTCTCTGTGACGCCCTCCCAGTTCTTCTGGACTATGTTCTCTTGTCCGAGATAGATTCCCAGATACTTGAAGCCGTCTCTTCCCCAGACCAGGCTCTGGGGAAGAACTGGGAGACCGTCACGCCATTCACTGACAGCGAGGGTTTCACTTTTCTTCCAGTTCACCCTCGCTGCCAATGCTATGCTAAAATCTTCCACAATATTGGTTAAAAGGTCTGCATCCCTCTGGTATGAAAACAACAATGTCGTCTGCATAGGCTGATAAAACCTTGTTCTTACTAAAACCAGGTAAGAACAGATGCTGTAGATTTTGGCTCCCCTGATTCCTCCTCCACCATCTCAGCCTCTTCCACCTGATCCTCCCACGTATTCAGTTCTCCACCCGCCTGTACTTCTTCTATCTCACCTGACTCCTGTATTCCACCAACCTGCTCTGTTAGGTCTATAGGTTTCTCACTACATCCGTTTTCACCCGTTTCCTTTGCTTTTCCTCAATCCTCACCATCTCCCACCTTACCCAAAGCCTCTCCCTCACTGTCCTGGACACAATCACTCACACCGTGCACATCACTTGCACTCATCCCGTGTAGGTCAGGCACAGCAGCGGCACGGCGCGGTCCGCGGTACCGCAATGGACCGCTCAGATTCCGCAGCTGGGTTCGCAGCAGGAGGTGTCTCCACCGCACCCTTGCGACCAGCGGACGGCCCCGCCACAGCGCCGAGCGCCACACCCAGGTCAGGTGGAGCCGGGTCCCCCTGCCTCGGACAGGCCCTCACAGTATGCCCCTCCTCACCGCAACCGAAACATTTCATCACCGACGAAATCACGTAATCATAATCATCTACTTTAACGTGGAAGCTGAGCTCCTCATTCCGGTTGTTAAGTATCATATACAGGTGTCTGCGGTGAGACACCACGTGCTTCAGTAACTGAGATTTACACCCAGACAAGATCTTTTTGATCGTGACACCACCTTCTCGTGTCTGGAGAGTTCTCTGCTGAGAAACTCGTCGGTGATGAAAGGAGGGACATTTGATAGTACCACTTTCGTGGCCGGTTGCGTCAGCGGCAACACCTGGACGTACCATTAACCTTGAGGCCTGTCTCGATGACTCGGTTCACCTTCTCCACCTACTCCAGGAAGATGACCACGGCGCTGTTCATCCGAGCGGCCGTCTTTACGCTGCTGTGCCCGACCATGTCCCCCACAGCCAGCCCAATGTCCTCCACGCTGCACGGAAAGCCGACGCTGATCTTAATGCCGTGCTTTCGCGTGAGGTGGGACAATTTACCATGGCGTCTAAAGACGCCAACCAGCGAGACACCGGCAGGAGAAAAGAAAAACACCAAACCCAAACTCCCCAAAAATCGATTAAACTTAACCTAAAGTGAAACACAACCAACAAACGACCTCAAAGTAAAGATCGAAAAACCACTCGCTCAGCGACTCACTCACACACACTCATTCCCAGCATGCACTGTAGAGAGAGAGAGAGAGAAAGTTAGAGAGAGAGAGAGTGACAGGAGAGAGAGAAAGTTAGAGAGAGAGAGAGACAGACAGGATCGAGCAGTAAGACATTTATTGGATTATTAATTTGTGAAGCTGAAGATCAAACAAAAGGTAAAGTCAGAGAAACTGGTTCAGTTTGACTCTCAGACATTTTACATTAAAAAGGTTTCTCTAACATTTAGATGAAGGAGCTCAAGTTGATCCTTAAATGTTAGATTTATGATTTAAATATCTTCTTAAAACATGAATTTATCTGAGAGGTTATCCTGATTTTACGTCATTTGTTTGTTCATTTATTTCTATAAATGTTTTTACTTCTTTATGTCTTATGTTACTTCAAAGTTCTCAATCTTTGCGTGGAACCCAATGTAACTGAATCTTTTGTTGAAAGCAATGTCACTGTGGTACTGTAGAGTCTCTGATCATGTTGATTGATCCAGTCGATTGACAATTTAGAGGTATTTGTACTTTAGTTGAGTACTTTTAGTCCATGCTCATCTCATAGAGAAAAGTGTACATTTTATTAAACTATAACCTTCTGACCATTTTAGTTACTTTATTTTACTTAAAGTACATTTAGCTGCTAATACTTGTGTAGTTTTACTGCAGATGATTTTGACTGCAGTACTTTTACCTATATACGTGTATATATATATATATATATATATATATATATACGTATATTTTCAATTCCTATATACGTATATAGACGTGTTGTTGTGTATCTCTTTTTATTAACCGGTCCAGACCATCGAGATGTAACCAAAGACAATATTCAGTGACTTCATTCATGTTCTCTAAGCAGATGTTTATCTGCCTCTGTGTTTACCCCCAACACTCTCCCATGATGCAACAGGAGAGGAACCTTTCCACTGAGTCTGCAGTTTGGACTCCGACAGGTCAAAGAGTCAAACGGTTCAAACGAGAGGGAGACGTACGTTTTAATATGTTTTCATGCTTTACTCTGAGTCTATGTTGGACAGCAGCGAGGACTCAGGACACAATGGGACAGGGGGGCAAACCAGCAGAGGAACTAGGCTCAATGAACTGGGCTCAATAATAATAATAATAATAATACATTTTATTTATATAGCGCTTTAAAAGGCTCTCAAATACACTTTACATGGTAAAAACAGACACAATAAAAGCATTTATTATAAGAACAAATAGATAACATAACATTAAGGAACAACACGAAAAAAAAAGAAAACATACATAACTGACTTTACAGGTTAAAAGCAGATTCAAATAGATGAGATTTAAGTGCAGTTTTGAAAGTGGCGAGTGACGGAGAATGTCTGAGGTGCTGGGGGAGGGAGTTCCACAGGGAGGAGAAGGCCCTGTCCCCCCAGTTCCGATGCTTGGACAGAGTAAGGGGGGTAAGGAGGTTGGCGTCGGCGGATCTGAGGTTGCGGTTGGGAGCGTGTCGATGCAGGAGGTCTAGAGGTATGAAGGGGCGAGGTTATGAAGGGCTTTATATGTGATGAGAAGAATCTTGAACTGGATTCTTTGCTGTATGTGTCACGATCAGGCTTTGCCCTGTGTGTTCTGTGTCTTTGTTTCTTTCTGTAGCTCCTCACTCACCTAATCAGTTCATTCAGTGCACCTGCCAGTCACACTCGCCTCATCAGCTCATTACTCTCACCTGCTCCCTCTGCCTCCTTCACTATTTAAACCCCTGCCGCGCACGTGCGCGCGCACACACACCCACTGCCAGATCATTGTTTGTTTTCCTACCTACCCGCCCGCCCGTTTTGCTCGTCCTGTTCTGCCTTTTCCTGCCGGATTTTCCCCCTCGTCTTTTGTCTTGTCCCTGGATTCCCTGTTTGTTTTTGGTTATCATTAAAACCTTTTTCACTACACCTGACTGTCTGCGTTTGAGTCCTCATCATGCCCGGTGACAGAATGTGGAGCCAGTGGAGGTTTAGAAGGACTGGGGTGATGTGGTCTCTGGTGCGGGAGTGGTAGAGCAGACCGGCAGCTGAGTTCTGGATGTATTCTAGTTTGTTGAAGATTTCGGTGGATGAGCCGTACAGGATGCTGTTGCAGTGGGCCCAGTGGGCCCACTGAGCCCACTGAGCAGAAGGTCTGCTGACAATCAAAACAAAGCAGGAAGTTAAGAGAGGAGAGTTAAACTTACAAAATAAAAGCAGGAAGCACTGAACTGAATGAATGAGATGAAAAGAGAAAATCCCAGAGAAGCAGCTGAAGGGTTTAACTGCCTTTGTGTGACAGATTCAGGCTCTTTTTTAATTTCCCCATTTAGTGGCTACTCGCGAATCCTCGCCTCCTCGATTCCTCGTCTCCTTGCCTCGTCTCTTAGGAGGAGAAACGAATGAGAGCTGTAACATTAAATAGGAGTTCTTTGTTTTGTTATAACTAATAATAATAATATTTTATGATCACTGTCAGATGAACAGAATGTGTTCATGTCCCGCATTTTTTATTTAACACACACATCCATGTTTGAGATCAGTCCAGATGTTTGAGATGATTCCAGATGTTTGAGATCAGCCCAGTTGTTTGAGATCAGTCCAGTTGTAGATCAGTCCAGATGTTTGAGATCATTCCCTGGGCCATATGTTCGAGATCCCTGCATTAGACTGTGCAGGTGAAGTTAAAAAAGTGGATAAATTAAATGTAACTTTTTCATTTTCTAATTTCCTTTTTCTAACTAATGTTTAATAATGATCTCATTATCTTAAGTTCTAAACATGATATTCATTTATAAAGTTACAGCTTCATTTGCATTTAAATGAGAGAAGAAGCAGCATGAGATGCAGAATATGTTTATTAATATCAAATAAAGCCGTCTGTGTCTCTTTAGGAGTGTGTTTGTGATGTCCATCATGGAGGGAGATACTGGAGAAAGCAGCAGGAAGGTAAAACCAAAGCATTCATTGTAAACTTTTTTTTTTACTGTAGAGTTACCCTCACATGTTCTGTGTTCAACCACTGAAGAAGAACACACACACACACAGACACACAGGTACCTGAGTTGGGGTTTCATCCCCGTCTCCACGTTGCTGGTCACACAGCTATCACATTGTAATGTGTCCTCCTGTCCTCTAGAGGGCAGCTCTGAGCCACTCTTCCAGCCCCACCAGAAGCTTCTTCCATAGGGCTCTGTTCAGCCGACCTTCCAGCCCCCGCTGCACTCGGGCCAGAACCTCCAGCTTCAAGATGAGCCCCAGCTCCCCCAAAACCACCCGGACTGGACCTCCCCAGCAGGACTCACTACCCAAGTCTCCACGCAGGTACACACACCTTACACACCTGGAGACTGCAGCAGAATCAGTGGAAGAAGTTCATAACTGTGTGTGTGTGTGTGTGTGTGTGTCAGGCTTAGTTTCAATGGGATCTTTAGGTCGACCTCCAGGGATTCAAACCAGCATCCCTTCTCCTCCCCCGTCAGCATCAAACTGTTCAACCGCAACAAGAGAGACAAGGCCAGAGGTACAGTGTGTGTGTGTGTGTGTGTGTGTGTCTGTTTGTGTTCGTGTTTGTTGTCAAAGTGTAGTTTGTTTAATTCAAAGATTATTGAATTTAAAATCAATTTAGACTATTAGAGGGTAGAAATCATATTAGCTGTTGTTTTTATGAAAGTGCCCCCACGCACACACACGCACACACATGCACTCACACATGCACACACACATGCACACACTCACACATGCACACACAAATCCACGCACACACATGCACACACACATGCACACATGCACACACACACGCACACACTCACACATGAGTAATTAACGAGGTTGAAATTGCCAATTAATAGTCTACAGATACAATAATAAAAAAGAAACCCATTGTCAACATGGAGATGCTCTACTGTGCCGGTTGTGGTCACACTGACATGACCCATGTGCAAGAAATAGAACAAGACCAGCAAGAAAAAGACCCTTGTTGGGGATTTAGTCGGGTCTGTCTCAGGAACTACTTGTCTGAATATACATTGTAGGATATCAGGAGGAATGCCCATGTTTTAACTGGTATGAGGATTTGTACATGACTACATTTTATTTTTTTTTGGAATCCATTTCTTTCAAGCAGGGCTCATGTTACCAAAGGGTTATCAGAGAACACCTCAAATTTACTAATCTTCATTTTTACATCTTCGAGTCTGTGACAATAGTGGGTCATCAGTAGAGGTGCAATGGATCACAAACCTCACGGTTCGGTTCGGTTCATTTTTCGGATCAGCAAAGAAAAGGGGAGGAGACAAATATAACTTTGCTTTCCATTTATTAATTAAAGAACTTAAAGTAAAGAACTTTGGGCTATAGTCTAACATAATGAGGTTATTAGGAGATGGCTCAAGTGTAGTAGGTCAGCACAGAAGGCCCAGGTATAAAACGCACGGCCCACCACTGG